CAAAAAAATTGAACATCCGAGCCCAAGACGTTGACCTACCCAAAGGACTTAGCCCGGCCTGAATTAGCTTCTATTTGGCTAAAAAATCGTCTAGTCGCAGGCCGCATTCTACTAGGTTTCACATCTTGGCCTGCATTTTCTCACTCAACTCTTCATCGACATCTTTGATTCCTTTTCTCCAATGTGTCGAGAAAGGCCACCCATTAGCTAGGGTGACAAAGGAATATTTGCTTTTCTAGGCTGGGACTTTGGAGGGAAACCCACGAAGAAGCTTGTATCCGGGATAGTAGGACAAGTAATAGCTAAATTTGTCCAAGCTGATGGCAAGGTTTTGTTTGATCTGGTAGAGGGCGATGAAGGTTTTGATGTCTAGAGGAAGGCTGAGGTGGAAGTAAAGGGAAATCATACTAACTAGGGTACGAACAAAGTTTGGATGCAGCTAACTAAGGGTTATATCATAGAAGTTCAGGATTTCAGCGATGAAGGGGTGAAGCGGGAAACAAAGGTTGGCTTTTAGGGCCTCTTCGAAGACTGTGACCTTGTTCGTATTGTTCTGCCAAGGAAACCCCACAAATGGAAGAGAGTAACCAAAGGGGTTTGGAATTCTGTACCGAGCTGCCAGACCGCAAATGGCGTTGGCAATCAGTTGGGTACGACCGAAGTGATCCGACTCTCTAGGTCTAGTTGGCCAGTGGGAAGACGAGGTCCTTTTATGGGAACCTTGTCAGTTTCAGACCAAGGTGCCCTCCTCGGCCTGACCAAACTGAACCCTTTCCCCACTAGACTCACTACCCGACATATTAGAAGGAAAAGCAAAGATAATGAAAACAAACAAGGAAGACGACTTACCGAAAAAGGGAGAAAGACCGACCTAACGACACCGAAGGCATTGACGACAGAATGCACCGCGACCTCCAAATGCACGAGAGCTTGAAATGGGACGAAATGAATGGGTTCCCAAGGGCCCTATTTATAGTTTCCTTAACCAACAACAGATGGTCCAGATCAAACAAGATCCGATGGCTCCCAGGGGTGTGTTCGCATTCTAAAGCCGAATTCAGTTGAGCGCATTTTTGATGTCCATGGAATTTATAGTTCGTGTGACGTCCGTGTGTACTCGAGACATGGCCTTGCCCCTTAAGGTCGAGCCAGTTGGATCGTTCAAGTTTGACCTATTGGTCGGATCTTGGCCAAACCAGAGGTCGGGATAAATTCATCCAGGTCGCCAGAAACTCCTACCCCAAGTCAGTTGCCTCAAGATTGAGAGTGAGGACAATTGATGAGGGATAATTTGGCCCAACCTACGACATGATGACACGTCGAGTGACTTGTTGATTTTGTGACATCTCAGCAGTCCATGTCACCTTGGGTCACTCAGCCAAGACCAAGGCCCGAGCAACTCATTATATCCACCGACTTGCCAAGGTGCCACGTAGGCTCCTTGTAGATGTGAGCCAATTGTCTCCAATCTCCTCGGTATTACGTTGCACGCCAACGGATCTTATCTCCATCCCACTCGAATTGGACAAACCTGGATAAGCCTTATCAGCTTACACAAAATCCATCTTCGGGTGCGGAACAAACTCCGAGTTAGGCGGGCCGGAGATTTCGTACATGTTTCATGAGACCTACGGTAGCTTGCCTATATAAAGGCATCGTCACCATCTTTAGAAGGTACCAGTGATTTAGCTCTCTTACTAGCATTCTGAGTTCTCAACTCTCACAAAAACCTTCTACGCTAAATTAAGCATCGGAGTGCCCACATTCGGTAAAGTACCCTGGGACCTCTAATCTACTTGTCTTGTAGTTCAACCCGGCCACGTAGCAAATCGATGTCCGAGTTGCCTTCTAGCAAGGAGCGACTAGATCGCACTACATCAACATCAAACAAATCCCATGGAAACAAATGAACACCTTCCATATTTTCAATCAAACTCAATCATCAAAATCAACCAATAAATTTGCAATGCTAGAAACTTCAATGAAATTCATTCCCATATGCAAGAAGATAGGAGCCCCTTCACATAATTGCATCAAAATTCAATCTTCAAAATCAAAATCAACCGATTTTGCAAAACTTGAAAAACCAATTCCTTTCCAAGTAGAATTAACAAAAGCACCCAAAATAACAAGAAGATCAAAGGTTAAAACACAACTACGAATAAAATTCTTGCTCAGGAAGAGAGAACCAACAGTAAGGAAAACCCCAACAGTGCCAAAAAAAAAAAAGGAATCAACAAGCAAAACCAATACACTGGGTCCAGGTGATGGGGGAACCGAAAGCTAGATAGATCTTGAACCCATAAAACTTGTAGAATGAAAAATAAAAAAATAAAATAAAATTGTAACATAAAGAATTTAGGTTTTACCTCCATTGAAGCTGGTCTGGTCTGGGTTGAGGATTCAAGAAATCGCCCTTGAATTTCAAGATAGAGCTCGAATTCTAGAGAGAGATTGCTCGAGATCCATCAAAGAGAGGGGGAATGGGATTGCAAATCCTTGCTGAAAATGGCTTAAATCATGGATTAAATGCCAAATAAGTTGAAAGGAGGATCGAAGAATACAACACTTACACCTCTATTTCATCTTCTTGAGGAAGAAGATGATGAACAGTGTTTTATTTTGAAGGGTAATTTTGACATTTTCAAAAGTTTTAAGTCGCACATGATGTCACATGATACATATAACTAACGGTAGGTACTACGTTGGCATGTTTTGAAAGTTTAGGCACTGGATTGTCACATTTTGAAGTTTGGGGACCAAAGCGATACTAGGCCCAAAGTACATGGTACTAATAATATGCAATTTTCCAATAAATAATTCCAAACTATCTTTTAAGTTATGTTTGCTGAAAAAGGGTAAATTGATGAAACCTCCTTTGAAGTTTCTAACCATTGTTGAATGCTCCCTTGAAGTTTAGTAATTTTAACCACCTATCCTAAACTTTTGATGCAATATGGGATTTGGTCCAATTGAGTACACATTTACTAGGTTGGCTTATGATGACCTGTTCACTTCGTACTTACCAAGACAACATTAATGCAGGATTTTTGTGTTTATCTATCTTGATTTGCATTTATCAAGTTAGCATTACAATGGGATTTCTGAATTTGTCTTCAATTAGGACTTTCTTTTTTTTGAAAAGAATTAGTAGGATTTTGATAAGGAGTGTTCAATTAGATTAGGAAACTTTTTTGTAGGAGCTATACGGGTGTAATGAAGTCTACGTAAAGAGTAGCTAGACCAAAGATAGGGGAGTTTTTGTTGATTTTCTTTTTTTTAAGTATTCAGTGAAGAATTGTTCTTCTTCTTGTTTTTGTCTTTAGTTCTTTTCTTTGAAGCTTTTCTTAATGTGATTTGTTTTCTGAACTGCACCAACTTTCTAACATAGTTTTAAGTAGATCCCTTTGTTAGAATCCTCATGCAATTTCTATTGAGGTTGGTTTTCTACAGAAGAAAAACAATACAAAATTTATAAACAACAAAAAAATGGAGAAATTAAAGTTGTAGCTTTACCTTTGAGTGGTTGATATGAAGGACAAATTCGAAAAAAAAAATCAATTTTAGAAAAGAGGATGGCCTTGGCTAGCATTATTATGAAGAGAAAATTTGGAAAATAAACATTTTGGTCAAAAGTAACTACATGGATATTTTGGACATTTTCATACCTAGTTTTCTAGGATTCTAACAAAGAGGGTCTAGTTGCAACTATGTTAGAAAGTTTAGGGGAGGTGATTGCAATTACTAGCTAACAATGGTTACTGGTTAGAAACTTTAGGGGTGGTTTTAGAAATTTACCCAAAAAAGGTAAATTATGTAGTTTGGAATATGAGACTTTATCACACCCACATATCTTTTATTTTTTATGATTTTAAAGCAAAAATCAGGAGAAGGGTCAATGGGTCAGGTCTACCTGATCTAACCAAAATTACCTAATCTATTGTATTGTTTCTGATTGTGATTTTATCCCAAATAATAATTGGGTTGGAACTGGTTTAAGCTGTTTTGAACTGATTATATAGCTAAAAAATTAGAAAGCTTTCATTTTTTTGTAATTTTTATTACATTTTGTGTCCAAAAAGATAAAATTTGTACATAATATATAAGATAGTTTTGGTTCAAATCAATTGACTTGTCAACTTATAAAATGTTTACTATTTTTTTCGTCATCTTTATTAAGGCTATATTATCAAAAATGAAGTTTTATGTTGTTAGTACCAATTCTACTAAGGTTGGTAATTACAACCTTCAAAAAAAAAAAAAAAGAATTGGTAATTATAGATGCCAAGTATAATTATTTGTAATTGGGTGATACACAATTATTAATTGGGGTGGTTTGAATCTATCTAGCTAGAACTGATTAATAATCAATTTGGGATTGGTACACCCTAGAACCACACCCAATCCATTGACAGCTGTAAATTTAGTTGAATGGAATGGTGGAAGTCATATATTGATGGTTTGGTACATCATTATTAGGGGCCCATTTTGAGAAGATTTCAGCATTGAACTGCTTCAAAGAATCAACGTACCAAAATTAACTTCTCAGCTGCTAGTTTTTCACTAGACACAGTTTTACAGTTTTTTGTTTGGGGCTTATCTTGCAACGAAAAAAAAAAACACGCTGTTTAAAAACCCTCCCAAACGGGTAACAAATCTTGATGTCACTTGTATGGTTAGAGATTATTTCATTGATATTAAAGAGACCAATTCTAATGACTCGAATCATCAGGTTGATTTAGCCACAACACACCCTCGTTGGTTTCTGCATCATACTTTATGATAATTGATAGATCCATCATCATTAGGCTGGCATAGGCCCAAATCTAGGCCCATTGTCGATATTTTAATTCAAAATAAGATATCTACAGCACGGTTGCAAATGGTATTCCGTTTGTTTGAATTTCAATCTGATCAAATACAATGGATTTATATAATAATGGGGATTTGTGGATTTGTATGCTTATGGCTACAATGCTACATATAATGGGTTTGTATAATTAATAAATTTACCCTTTCATGACTATTTTATTGACACTTTTTTTTTCAACCCAACCGGACCCAACTCATTGTTTAATTCTGCCACCAACACACAAACACGTATACTTGCATACATCTCACAGTTCTTCTCACATCATCAACTTCCTGTTGCAGCAACCCACGCTTGTAAGTTGTAACTTCCATCCACCCAAACTCGAGAGGTTTGAATATAGAACAAAATAAAATGAATACACAGAATATATAATTAAGAAAAAAACTAGAATTAAACCAGAGAGATGTAACAGCAGCTTTTTCAAGGATATATGAAGAACTACTACACCAAGTATGAAGGGAAGCAAGGAGATTTGCTCCATGTCTTGAGATATTGAAGCCCTAAAATCTCTTTGGCCTTGTGTTTTGTCTTAACACTGCACTCAGCCTGCACCAACAGGCATAGCTTAGCAATAGCACCCACCTCCATAAGCTCCTTGGCAACCCCGCTGTTGTTACAAAACTTGCACAGCGACAATAACACCGTCACAGCCTTATCATTAGCTATCTGGGATATCCTTAAGATCTTCGTCGCCACCGCCGCTACGCTTGCCGGATGGGCCAAGAAAGCTGACCGTCCCTCCGCTCTCCCACATAGCTGTTCTATTACCCCCAACATGATCTCGCAGCATCGCCTCTCGTTGCTCTCTGCCAGCAATTCCACAAGCACTGATACTATTCCAGCCTCCACGGCTTTGATCTTGTTCCTCGCAAATGGCACCACTTCCATTAAGATCGACAGCGCTGCCATAGATGCCCGATTCGAGTTCTGGTCCTTCAGTATTTCTGCGATGCCTTCGAAGAGTTCCATCTTCAGTTCTGTTTTATATATATCATCTACCGCTCTGAACACATATTTAAGGACAAGAGCAGCTTGGATTCTAGCCTGGTAACTCCCATGTTGTATAATCTGCGAAAGTGATCCTATCAGTAGGCCGTTTCTGTCCTCAGATATCTTCTTCAACTTGTCGGCAGCTGGCTTAAGAAGGTAGAAAACACTTATTGCCTCCTCAACGACTACCGATTTGTCACAGCTGGATTGTGAAACCCCTTCCGGTGGTGGGTCGTCGGTTTGAGTGATGAGAGATGCTACTACTGGAACGAAACCAGCAACTTCCATGGACGCCCTGTTGCCATCGCTCTCTTGGATTAGTGATTTAATCTTTCTCAGAGATTTTATCTGCAACTCAGGTTTTCTTACCTCCTCGATAAGTTGGCCAACAAGGGTCGTATTAATATCGGATGTATGCTTCAGAGACTCAGTCCTTGTGGCGGAGAACAATATTGGTGGATTGTTGACACGCCATGATTCGATCAAGCGAAGGAGGGTGGAGTTTGGGGTGAGGCTTTGATCGGTGAGGGGCTGCTTTGTAATGGGACATGTGTTGTTGTTGTAATAGAAGAACCATTTTCCGATGCTTTCTCGATCGTAGGTCATACCTGTGGAGATGGTGACTGGATCTTTCATGATCTGCAGCGAGATGGGGCAGATGAAGAAGGAAGGAACTTCATCAGCAACATTGTCCATTGCTGTTGTTCTTTCCTTATTCTTAGAATGGAAGAAGTAGTAGAGAGAGTTCAGACCTACAAAAACAACCGAACGGCAAATCTGTAAGAAGAGATGTATTTACGACATAAAAGGGAGGGGAGGAGGAAATCTGAAGTGGGTCTTCTGACTCTTGTTGCTTTTAATTTGTTGGGTGCGTCAAATTAAAAGAGAAAGCGAGGACAGTGAGACAAATCCTCAAGGATGTACAACCGAACGGAGAAGGGGAAAAGGGAACAAAAGAAAAAGGGATGGATCAGCAGCGTAGGCCACAACAACAGTTGAAAGTTGAAAGTCCAAAGTCCAAAGTCGAAATACAAGTCACGAAATGAATGTTTATGGGTTTCATCTACTTGATCTCCAATTTTCTTCATCCATATTTTTGTATTTAATAAATGATATTGACGTACGATGTGCGTTAGTATTGAGTATTTTACTATTTTATTTAGTCAGTTTTGAATTTTCCTTTAATATGAGTTAATGACCCGTTTGGTTGTACGTAGTTTCTGACCAGCCAGTATGGCAGTATATGCTAGATGTTGCCGTGCGTTTGCATTTGCCCTGTACAACCTCCCCCCTGAACATCTTCTTGTGGGCATCCGATCCGAGCTCCCCCATATAAACAGAAGAACATAAATGTTAAAAACAGTATTTTGTCAAATTAGTATTCAGTTTTTTTTTTTTTTTCTATAATGATCAGGAATCGCTACTTGGAAAATTTTATCATGGTTCTTCAAGTATTGATTTTTTTTTAACTAGTATAATAATCTTAGGATGAAGCCATAACATAAGGTGTAATTTTCGTCACGTCTCCTTTTCTTTTTTCAAACTTTGCGGAACAAAATTAGTCTACAGGCCAGTCATCGTCACATACTCTTTTTTGTCGGCCGTGGCTTTCCCATCGGTGACGAGTATATTTTTGTAGTAAAGCGCGCCATGCATCTTTCTTATTGTTGATTTGGTTTCTGTTTCAATAATGCTTCTCTTTTTTCCGGCGCCGGTGGCGGTGCGCCTACAAAATTCAATATTTTGATATTTTCTTCACCTGAACTGAAGGATGCATGATTCCTGCAATCCAATTCCTTCTGCTGACTCATTTGAAAAAGAGAAGGGTATATAAGCTCTTGACCTCTGAGGTGTTAACGCTACCATACCATTCAAAGGCACCAATTAAGTGTTAAAAGTCTTAATTAATTAACTAATGTTTTTTTTTTTCTTTTGGCCAATTGGGTATCCAACACCATACGGCTTAACAGTTAACACATCATCTATCTACATATTGTATTATTAAAAATGAAGCAAACCCAACCTCCTTTTTCTAGCTCTAGATCGTCACATAATAAGATAATACTGGTGTGGTGTGACCCCAAAGTTTGTCCAGTATTGGATGAGCTTAATCAGGCAATGGTTGGAGTGATAAACATTTTAATTAGAGGCTGTGACCGAGGAATGGTTTTGGAATTTATTCATTTCTTCTTTTATACATATACAATTGGGAGAATGGAATTTATTCATTTCGGGATTTAATTAATTTAAGTATATGTATATGTGGCCAATGGCCATGCAAGTAATATAATGGAGACCAATTGCTGATTGGAATTTTTTACTGTCAAAGGAGATGAGTTGTCGTTGGGCATATATGCATCTTCCTCCTCAATTCCTTCCTCATTAAATAACAGAGAATGCTATATATGTACATGAGTAGATAGTATGCCCTAGTTTGGAAAAAAAAAACTAAAGCAGCGACAGTGGTTAGTTTTGAGTATTAATTAAGACTGGTTTGAAAACACTGCATCCCGACAAGTTCAGCTCAACTTCAACTTCTTTGTTGTTGAGCACCATGAATGCTTTGAAACGCTAGCTTCTCTTTCGATTTTGGTATACTATAATTAATTTCTTAACTATACAAGTTTAAAGTAGGGAAATAAGAGCAAGTTAATTAAAATCGGGCAAAGGTAGGGAAAGGGGGTTGAGCCATGATAGCGTTAGAGAATTAAGCTTTCAAACTTGGTTGAAGGCCATTCACGCTCCAAAAGACATTGTTTTGACTGCAACCAGAGAATTGCGCAGACCCCTTTTGACTGCAACCAGTTCAATCTAAAGAGATTTGAACTTTGAAATTGTTGACTGGGAGATGTAGAGAACCTGGCCTCCCCTTCAAAAATCTGCAGAAATGAAAAAAAAAAAAAGCACAAAGATCACGCATTGTCTTATGTCCGACAGATATTAAACAGTGCACTGCTAGCTAGCTTCCATGAGAGTACACATGCAGCCTTAGCCTTCTTCTTTCTTTCCTTAGAAGTTTAACTCGACCCCTTCTCCTCTCTTCTTCATCAGTTAATAGTCTCACTTTTTCTTTATGGCAATTACATTAGAAATTAAAGGTCGTTGCGTTATCAAGGAAACTTCGGTAGCCTGTGAATCACATAGTTCATACATCATAGTGATCGTACACTTAATTCCACAAAAAAGAAAAGGAAGTAGCTAGGCTATTTCATATATACCACCTTCGAAAATAAAACAAAAAAGCAGGGGCCCGGTCTCATCATCAATTTTAATTAATTTGAACACTACAGCAACTAATTAATGCACACATGCATACAAATTCTTAAGTATAATAGATTGATATATAGAGGAAGGTGAAAACCCGAAAATTAATTTTCACTTGCATTATAAGTTAACTTGTTGTGTTTGGTTACAATTGGCAAAGAAAATGCCAAGGAACGGGGAAAAGGAAAAAAAAAAATCTAAAAGAAAGAAAAGTGGCTTTCCTTCCTTCCTTTTGACTTCAATTAAGGAGGAGTAGGAGTGTAAAAGAAAAAAAATAAATAAATAAAGCTAAGACGATGGAATAACAATGTCCGTTTTCTGTCTGACTGACATCTTTTACTTTCTCTCCTCTCCTCAAGGTTGAGAAAGCAAAGAAAACAATGTAGAGTGGAGAAGAAGCAAAACCTTTTATTTTCTCTTTCTTTTTCTGTTCCTTTCGTTTTCTATTGTTTTGTATATATACATTCCAATTTGTCTACTCATCAGATCAAGAAGTTACCGCCATCACTGGGTTTGGGTGACGGTATTTTGAGGGCCGATTGGTTAATTAGCTATATAGTATATATAGAATGTTGTGAAGCAATACAATGTTTGGTACATCTTACATATGTTAGGTTAAATAAGTGAAATTAATTTTAGTGTCTGTTAATGGCCAGCATTACTTGTGTAAGACACACTACTAATAAGAAGGGAGGGGCTACAGAACTGATATTGGAGGATTGTACAGGTGATCAATCGAAACTCAAAAGATTCCTCACTTGGCAGAAATAGGAATGTTCCTGCAGGGAAGGTTTAATTACTTAAGGACTTTGCCTATATACCGGAAATACACCCAATCAACTGGTATCATGAACATGTTAACCAATAAGGTGGATGGGTTTTGATTGGTCACGTTGTGTATAAATCATACTATAGAGCTTGCCTGTAAAAGGTAATGCTGGACTGGGCCTTCAAATCTCTGGCTGACATGACTACTTGGCCTGCAGCAAGGCTCAGGCCCAATACCTTGGTAATAAAAACCTAAGCCCAGCCCGGACTAAGAACTCCCGTATATAGCAGCATGAATACTATTCTTGGCTCATGGGGGGAATCAAAGGTTCCAAGTTTATACTCTATTAGTTGTATCATTTATTTATCTATACTCTATTAGTTGGTAAGACGGTGCTTAATCTTTGGATACCCAGGTCCATGTCACTCGATAACAATTTTTTTTTTTCTTTTAATTACCATTGATGAGGGTACCTTAGCTTGAATTAAAATTTATTTGCCTCTCTTTTTAGTGGGAGCTTAGCAATTTGTCAGTCTGTTGAAGCAATCTTTGGAAGAAGAGGATATACTCTCCCTTATGTGTAATCAGATGGGAGAGACCTTCAATCATTTATTTTTCATTCGCTATTTTGCAAGAGTAATTTGATTGTCTTTACAGATAGGTACTAATGAAAAAGGAGAAGCTACAGTTAATGGGTTTGTTCTGGACAGTTTTGTGCTTCATATGGGATGTGAGGAATGGAGTTCTGTATCATGATAAGATATCAAATCCAAAACAAGCTGCTGCAACAATTTTATCAAGTGGAAAATTTCCTTGTAAAAAGTTTTCCAAAGCTCGCTAGAAACAACTTCCTTGAACAAAAGAAATCATGTTACTTTTGATGATTTGCATCTACACACTAGAAATTTTTTGTTGATGGCTCATATGAGTCAGAGATAGGATATGCTACAACAAGATTGATGATGTTAAACACTAATAACAATGTTGTTTTTGCCTCTGGCTATCAATGTTGTGCAGGAAGTAGTGGTGAGACTAAATGGTGGGTAGTTGTACAAGCTCTGGAGTTTGCTTGGAGGAGATGACGTCTCCACCCCACAACGCCCCACAGCACATCCCCGCCGTGTATTGGGAACATCTCCCGATACTTTTACACCAATGGAGTTGAGACACGATGGTTTGGTGAGAGTGTAAAATATGGACCGGCCATTGTGCCCATTTACAATCGTTCTGTTTGGTTACATCTTGTTGTAGCGGGAGATTTATCAGAGAGGGAGGGGGAGAGAGAGAGAGAGAGAAGGGTGGAACTGGGGTATCTCGCCTGAGTTCCGATACCATGTTCTAATTCGACAAACCGACCTGTGGAATTTGAATCAAGCTGCCTCGCTTGAGTTGAAGAAACTAATGACCAATGTGCATGATGCTACAACCATGGAGGGAGGTCTATGTCGCTGCCTTTCACTTCCTTATGCCCCATCAGTCTACCAGATCCCCAAGTACCCATGCTACCAGCAGAGAGACAACGGGAGCAAAACACCCAAGAACGACGAGATGTTGTAGCCATGGAGGGAGAGAGAGAACAATGGGGTTGCACCCAAATGGAGATTGCTACCCAGAAGCAGAGAACGCCCATCTAAATTGGCCTCCAAGTTCCCCCAATCAAACCTCGTCGGAGGTGGTGGCGGTGAAGGAGAACGCCCATATGAATCGGCCTCCAAGTTCCCCCAATCAAAACCCTGTTGGAGGTGGTGGTGGTGAAGGATAATGCCCATTTGGATTTGCTCTGATGCCGCCGATAGACACCACTTATTGTTAAGAGAGAGAGAGAGAGAAGGAGAAGAGAGATAGAGAGCGAGCGAGCGAGAGAGAAGGAGAAGAGAGAGAGAGAGAGAGCGATGTAATTAAACAGTAAACATGTAAATTTACACCAATTTTGGTGTAAAATTACATATTTACCAAATGTCTGCAAA